ACAACAACCAACCCATACAACAACCAACCCATACAACAACCAACCCATACAACAACCAACCATATACAACAACCAACCCATACAACAACCAATCTATACAACAACCAACCCATACAACAACCAACCTATACAACAACCACCCATACAACCAACCTATACAACAACCAACCTATACAACAACCAACCCATACAACAACCAACCCATACAACAACCAACCCCATACAACAACCAACCTATACAACAACCAACCATACAACAAACCAACCTAACAACAACCAGCCATACAACAACCAACCTATACAACAACCAACCCATACAACAACCAACCCATACAACAACCAACCTATACAACAACCAACCCATACAACAACCAACCATACAACAACCAACCCATACAACACCAACCTATACAACAAACAACCCATACAACAACCAACCCTATACAACAACCACCCCATACAACAACCAACCTATACAACAACCAACCCATACAACAAACCAACCCCATACAACAACCAACCCATACCACAACCAACCCATACAACAACCAACCTATACAACAACCAACCCATACAACAACCAACCTATACAACAACCAACCTATACAACAACCAACCCATACAACAACCAACCCATACAACAACCAACCCATACAACAACCAACCCATACAACAACCAACCCATACAACCAACCTATACAACAACCAACCCATACAACAACCACCCATACAACAACCAACCCATACAACAACCAACCCATACAACAACCAACCCATACAACAACCAACCCATACAACAACCAACCTATACAACAACCAACCCATACAACAACCAACCCATACAACAACCAACCCATACAACAACCAACCCATACAACAACCAACCCATACAACAACCAACCTATACAACAACCAAACCCATACAACAACCAACCCATACAACAACCAACCCATACAACAACCAACCCATACAACAACCAACCCATACAACTACCAACCATACAACAACCAACCCATAAAACAACCAACCTATACAACAACCAACCCATACAACAACCAACCCATACAACAACCAACCCATACAACAACCAACCCATACAACAACCAACCCATACAACAACCACCCATACAACAACCAACCTATACAACAACCAACCCATACAACAACCAACCCATACAACAACCAACCCATACAACAACCAACCCATACAACAACCAACCCATACAACAACCAACCTATACAACAACCAACCCATACAACAACCAACCCATACAACAACCAACCCATACAACAACCAACCCATACAACAACCAACCCATACAACTACCAACCCATACAACAACCAACCCATAAAACAACCAACCTATACAACAACCAACCCATACAACAACCAACCCATACAACAACCAACCCATACAACAACCAACCCATACAACAACCAACCCATACAACAACCAACCCATAGAACAACCAACCCAACAACAACCAACCTATACAACAACCAACCCATACAACAACCAACCCATACAACAACCAACCCATACAACAACCAACCCATACAACAACCAACCCATACAACAACCAACCCATACAACAACCAACCCATACAACAACCAACCTATACAATAACCAACCTATACAACAACCAACCCATACAACAACCAACCTATACATCCAACCTATACAACAACCAACCTATACAACAACCAACCCATACAACAACCAACTTACTAACCACATATTAAACCACACCACCACTGAGTAAACTAAGAGGGGAGGTGGGGAGAGAGAGGAGCAGGTGGGTAGAGAGAGAGAGAGAGGAGCAGGTGGGGAGAGGAAAGATGGGGAGAGAGGAGGAGGTAGGGAGAGGGTGATTAAGTTGAGGATAGGTTAAGTTAGTTAGAGTTTGTTCCCTCACATTAATTAGTTAAGCTTGATGCAGTAGTAACTTGTGATGTTAAATACTACTGCTGTTACTGCTGCCGTTATTGCTGTGGCTAATACTGTTGCTGCTGTGTGCTAGGGGAGACACACCTGCTGGGTGCTAGGGGAGACACACCTGCTGGGTGCTAGGGGAGACACACCTGCTGGGTGCTAGGGGAGACACACCTGCTGGGTGCTAGGGGAGACACACCTGCTGGGTGCTAGGGGAGACACACCTGCTGGGTGCTAGGGGAGACACACCTGCTGGGTGCTAGGGGAGACACACCTGCTGGGTGCTAGGGGAGACACACCTGCTGGGTGCTAGGGGAGACACACCTGCTGGGTGCTAGGGGAGACACACCTGCTGGGTGCTAGGGGAGACACACCTGCTGGGTGCTAGGGGAGGCACACCTGCTGGGTGCTAGGGGAGACACACCTGCTGGGTGCTAGGGGAGGACACACCTGCTGGGTGCTAGGGGAGAGCACACCTACTGGGTGCTAGGGGAGACACACCTGCTGGGTGCTAGGGGAGGACAACCTGCTGGGTGCTAGGGGAGACACACCTGCTGGGTGCTAGGGGAGGCACACCGCGGGTGCTAGGAGACACACCTGCTGGGTGCTAGGGGAGGCACACCTGCTGGGTGCTAGGGGAGACACACCTGCTGGGTGCTAGGGGAGGCACACCTGCTGGGTGCTAGGGGAGGCACACCTGCTGGGTGCTAAGGGAGGCACACCTGCTGGGTGTTAGGAGAGGCACGCCTGCTGGGTGCTAGGGGAGGCACACCTGCTCGGTGCTAGGGGAGGCACACCTGCTGGGTGCTAAGGGAGGCACACCTGCTGGGTGTTAGGAGAGGCACGCCTGCTGAGTGTTAGGGGAGGTACACCTGCTGGGTGTTAGGGGAGGTACACCTGCTTGGTGTTAGGAGAGGTACGCCTGCTGAGTGTAGGGAGGAACACCTGCTGAGTGTTAGGGGAGGTACACCTGCTGGGTGTTAGGGGAGGCACACCTGCTGGGTGCTAGGGGAGGCACACCGCCTGGGTGCTAGGGGGAGGCACACCTGCTGGGTGCTAGGGGAGGCACACCTGCTCGGTGCTAGGGGAGGCACACCGCCTGGGTGCTAGGACGCACATCTGCTGGGTCTAGGGCACAGTGGGGAAGCACACCTGCTGGGTGGTAGGGGAGGCACACCTGCTGGGTGCTAGGGGAGGCACACTTGCTGGGTGCTAGGGGGAGGCACACCTGCTGGGTGGTAGGGGAGGCACACCTGATGAATGCTAGGGGGAGGCACACCTACTGGGTGCTAGAGGGAGGCACACATGCTGGGTGGTAATGGAGGCACACCTGCTGGGTGCTAGGGGAGGCACACCTGCTGGGTGGAAGGGGAGGCACACTTGCTGGGTGCTAGGGGGAGGCACACCTGCTGGGTGTTAGGGGAGGCACACCTGCTGGGTGTTAGGAGAGGCACACCTGCTGGATGCTAGGGGAGGCACATCTGCTGGGTGCTAGGGGAGGCACACCTGCTGGGTGGAAGGGGAGGCACACTTGCTGGGTGCTAGGGGGAGGCACACCTGCTGGGTGTTAGGGGAGGCACACCTGCTGGGTGTTAGGGGAGGCACACCTGCTGGGTGCTAGGGGAGGCACACCTGTTGGATGCTAGGGGAGGCACACCTGCTGGGTGCTAGAGGGAGGCACACATGCTGGGTGGTAGGGGAGGCACACCGCCTGGGTGCTAGGGGATGCACACATGCTGGGTGGTAGGGGAGGCACACCTGCTGGGTGCTAGGGGAGGCACACCTGCTGGGTGGAAGGGGAGGCACACTTGCTGGGTGCTAGGGGGAGGCACACCTGCTGGGTGTTAGGGGAGGCACACCTGCTGGGTGTTAGGAGAGGCACACCTGCTGGATGCTAGGGGAGGCACATCTGCTGGGTGCTAGGGGAGGCACACCTGCTGGGTGGAAGGGGAGGCACACTTGCTGGGTGCTAGGGGGAGGCACACCTGCTGGGTGTTAGGGGAGGCACACCTGCTGGGTGTTAGGGGAGGCACACCTGCTGGGTGCTAGGGGAGGCACACCTGTTGGATGCTAGGGGAGGCACACCTGCTGGGTGCTAGGGGAGGCACACCTGCTGGGTGCTAGAGGGAGGCACACATGTTGGGTGGTAGGGGAGGCACACCGCCTGGGTGCTAGGGGATGCACACATGCTGGGTGGTAGGGGAGGCACACCGCCTGGGTGCTAGGGGATGCACACCTGCTGAGTGCTAGGGGAGGCACACCTACTGGGTGCTAGGGGGAGGCACACCTGCTGGGTGTTAGGGGAGGCACACCTACTGGGTGCTAGAGGGAGGCACACATGCTGGGTGGTAGGGGAGGCACACCGCCTGGGTGCTAGGGGATGCACACCTGCTGGGTGCTAGAGGAGGCACACCTATTGGGTGCTAGGGGAGGCACACCTGCTGGGTAAGAGCCAGATGCACATGGGTGAGGGTAAGACAGCCAGACACATATGGGTGGGGGTAAGACAGCTAGACACACATGGGTGGGGGTGACACAGGAGAGGCACCTAAGGGTGAGGGACGGGGGAGAGGGAACAAGGGGAGGGAACTTACCTGGTGGGAATCATATAAGAGAGAACACTGCCTCCTGAGGCTAAGTTAATTAATTCAGGTCTCTGAAGCACCATCATCCTGCCTCCACCCACTAGTTCCCACTGAGTCCTTACTAATTCCCACTGATTAGTGCTAGTTCTCACTGATTTTCATTATTTCTCACTAGTTCCCACTGATTTTCGCTAATTCCCACGGATTCTCAATAGTTCCCACTGATTCCTATTTATTCTCACTAGTTCCCACTGATTCCTATTGATTCTCACTAGTTCCCACTGATTCCTATTTATTCTCACTAGTTCCCACTGATTCCTATTGATTCTCACTAGTTCCCACTGATTCCTATTTATTCTCACTAGTTCCCACTGATTCCTATTGATTCTCACTAGTTCCCACTTATTCTTACTAGTTCCCACTGACTTCTACTAGTTCCTATGGATTCTGACTAATACCCACTAAAATAAGACACGTACCGTTGCATGGTGTGGCAGCAAGGTGGAGACGGTAGGGTGTATGGGGAGTGTTGGGGGTGAGGTCAGTACCAACATTCACCAGCTGACCCTCCAGGCTGTATAACTTGACCACGTCTCCTCGACCACCACCTCCAGCGCTACGAAACAACTCTGTTAACACACAACAAAATACATATTATACCTACATAAAGATATACATACACACAGAAAACACACGTTAACCTGGTGGTTAACGCTCTCGCTTCACACGGTGAGGGCCTGGGTTCGATTCCCAGCCAGAGTAGAAACATTGGACGTGTTTCTTTCCACCTGTTGTCTATGTTCCCCATCAGTAAAATGGGTACCTGGGTGTTAGTCGACTGGTGTGGGTCGCATCCTGGGACACTGACCTAAGGAGGCCTGGTCACAGACCGGGCCGCGGGGGCGTTGACCCCCGGAACTCTCTCCAGGTAAACTCTCCAGGTAAACACACACACACACATATATAACAGTATTATTACTATTATTATTATTATTATTAATAAAACATATCTGTCACTCCTCCTATAAGTGCCATGGGGGAAAGACACGAGAAAAACATTTAATTAGACAAAAATAGAGAAGCAAGCAGAGAAAACAAGGAAGTAAGCAAGGAAAGATAGAAAGAAAGAAAGCAGCACTCCCAGTCACTGCCGCCGCCGCCAGTGCCACTCAACAACCTCGTTAAAGAAGAGGAAAAAGAAGAGTGCCAGACGTAAATTACCCTGAGGGGGGAACTCTTTATTATGAAGTACACAGACAGAGACACTACACTGTGTGCTATACTGACTTATGGTGAGACACTACACTGTGTGCTATACTGACTTATGGTGAGACACTACACTGTGTGCTATACTGACTTATGGTGAGACACTACACTGTGTGCTATACTGACTTATGGTGAGACACTACACTGTGTGCTATACTGACTTATGGTGAGACACTACACTGTGTGCTATACTGACTTATGGTGAGACACTACACTGTGTGCTATACTGACTTATGGTGAGACACTACACTGTGTGCTATACTGACTTATGGTGAGACACTACACTGTGTGCTATACTGACTTATGGTGAGACACTACACTGTGTGCTATACTGACTTATGGTGAGACACTACACTGTGTGCTATACTGACTTATGGTGAGACACTACACTGTGTGCTATACTGACTTATGGTGAGACACTACACTGTGTGCTATACTGACTTATGGTGAGACACTACACTGTGTGCTATACTGACTTATGGTGAGACACTACACTGTGTGCTATACTGACTTATGGTGAGAGAGAGAGAGAGAGGCAATTGATACTCAGTCATTACTGTGTCTTTCATTATTGGCACCATTCCCATTGTTCATTACTGGCACTACTCCCATTGTTCATTACTGGCACTACTCCCATTGTTCATTACTGACACTACTCCCATTGTTCATTAATGGCACCACTCCCATTGTTCATTACTGGCACTACTCCCATTGTTCATTACTGGCACCACTCCCATTGTTCATTACTGGCACCACTCCCATTGTTCATTACTGGCACTACTCCCATTGTTCATTACTGGCACCACTCCCATTGTTCGTTAATGGCACCATTCCCATTGTTCATTATTGGCACCATTCCCACTGTTCATTACTGGCACCCTTACCATTGTTCATTACTGGCACCACTCCCATTGTTTATTACTGGCACCATTTCCTAGGCAAATTACTCGTGCCATTCCAGACAGGTTCTGGCACCATTCCCAGAATGCCATAATCACTCCTGGCACGGTTCTTGATGCCATCAGAGTGATTTATATCAAGGGCAACACATACCCCTGATATATTTTCGACGGGTTTCGAGAGTTTTGCTACTCCCGCAGCCCGGTCCTGGGCCCGGCTCGTCTGGTGCATGCCTGGTCCACCAGGACTCACGAAATCGTAATGACACGATTGCAAACAAAACCATACCACGGGCGGGATTTGAACCCGCGGTCAGAGAGTCTCAAAACTCCAGACCGTCGCGTTAGCCACTAGACCAGCTAGCCACAATAAGTCATCTAACTAGGTATATTTCTACACCATAGGAAGGTTAGCATAGGCACCACTGTGACCACAAATGCAAGTTTTTACAGACGAATCTCCAGATAGCGTGGCCGTGACGAACTCTAGCTCAAGTCCCCTCACTGCCGTCAACATGACTCACGAAATCGTAATGACACGATTGCAAACAAACCATACCACGGGCGGTATGGTTTGTTTGGTTAGCACTCCCTAGCTGGTCCAGTGGCTAACGCGACGATCTGGAGTTTTGAGACTCTCTGACCGCGGGTTCAAATCCCGCCCGTGGTATGGCTTGGTCCACCAGGTTGTTGCTGCTGGCGGTCCGCTGGCTCGCACAGCCATCACAGCCTGGCTGATGTGGAACTTGGTGGAGGCATTTGTCCAGTTTCCTCCTGAAGCTTCTACACTTGTTCCAGCAGTGTTTCTGTTATCTTCTGGTAAGATGTTGAATAGTCTGGGGCCACGACGTCCCTGCCTTTCACTGGATTAATTTATATTTCCTCCTACCTCTCTCACTCTAGTATGTTGTAATGGTAGTGTGCAGATATGGGACTAGATCCTCAAGCACCTTTCATGTATGTACGTGAATGGTATACAATACGGACAAGATGGAAATTAAGACACATATGCAACATCTGAGTATCTTCAATGTAGACGTTTCACCAATATCAATACAAATTCTAGGACATAATTTGAAGACAGTGGAACTATATACACTACAGATACCCATGTTACATATGTGTCTAATTTTCACCTTCCATGTATATAGTATCAAATATCTCTCTTCCGCTCCATATTTAAAACTTCGAGTCATTCCCAGTAATTTAAATGTTTCACTGGCAGTATGATGAGGTCATCCACTGGCAGACCTGGTCTGGGACTGGGTCACGAGGGCGTTGACCCTCGGAATAATCTCCAGGTAAATGCGGGTTGTAAATGATCTCTGTATCTGTTCCAGCTCTTCTCTCTCTCCCGCTGTGAACGGAGCCGTCAACATAGAACAATAACGAGAGAGTACAAGTTATCTGAATATTATCACCATTGGCATCATTTATATTGTTACGAAAGTTTTCATTATCAACTTTTCATTTTCCTAACTTTGGCGACATTGCCTTCCTGTCTTCTTTAAAACATAGGTCATCTGGCGTTATTACAAAACCCAGGTCCTTCACATGTTCCTTTCGTTCTAACTGGTGATCCTCGTGTATTTTGTACACACATGTGCAACATCTGGGTGCCTAATTCTTTATCTTGTCGGTATTTTATGCCATTTATGTACAACATTTTGTACAGTGTTCCTTTTAAGTTCTTCATTCATTCCTTATCTAAGCAGCTGGAACATGTCACCAATAAACAACATGCTATTCTCTATTGCCCATATCTTTTCTTAGCATATTTTGGTGTCGTCTGGCAATGATAGTAGGACGGTGTGGTGAGTGCTGACATCTGTGTCAGCTGTGAGGAGGAGAAACAGAAGAGTTTCCAACACCGTGCCTTGGGGCACTGAATCTTCTTACTTTGCTAATGCTGGATTTTGGTTTATTTACTACCATTCTATGTTTTGACATTCCATGCTTCACTTGGCACTATTCCTAACACAAATACTGAGAGATATCTCAAAAAGAAGTTTCCAATAGTCTGCCATCTTTCTACAATAGTCTAGCATCATTACACAAGTCTAGTAATATTCTACAATAGTCTAGCACCATTACACAAGTCTAGTAATATTCTACAATAGTCTAGCACCATTACACAAGTCTAGTAATATTCTACAATAGTCTAGCACCATTACACAATAGTCTAGCACCATTACACAATAGTCTAGCATCATTACACGATAGTCTAGCACCATTACACAATAGTCTAGCATCATTACACAATAGTCTAGCACCATTACACAATAGTTTAGCACCATTACACAATAACAGGTCACCATTCCACAATTCAAATAATTTTGTCTAAAACAATTTCAAATACATCCTTAACATAATTGCAGATACAATTCCTGTTACAGTTCTTGATATAATTCCTGATGCTACTTCAGACAGGGCATCAAATACATTCCTATTCTGTGACACTTATAGTGGCAACACCAGCAGCGTGCTGCTAGAGTTGGTAGACTTCAGTAGAGTCAGCCTGAGCTGGCAGACTTCAGTAGAGTCAGCCTGAACTACTAGGAGGCTTCAGTAGTATCAGCCGGAGAAGGGAGACTTCAGTAGTGTTATCTCGAGCTGGGACACTTCAGCAGTAAGTAAGTAAGTAAGTAAGTTAACAGGACAATGAGAATATCGTCAAGTATCCCTTTAAATGCTTAACAGCTACGACAGCTTCAAAGATTTCTTTCCAGCAGAGCTGGAGTTACTATCACTTGGGGAATTACCATCTCTCAGGATGTGCTATCCCATATACAGCAGTTATCCAATTTTCATGAGGCCATTCCCACCATGGGAGAGAGATTTTACATGGGAGAGGGAGGAGAAAGAGTGCTGGGATATGAGAGAGATACCCGGATGACCTAACGTGTCTAGTTACGTACATACAATACTATATACTAGCGCTAATCCTAGGAGGTAGTAGTGAAGGCGGAGGGGAGGGAGAGACAGAGAGACAGAGAGAGAGAGAGAGAGAGAGAGAGAGAGAGAGAGAGAGAGAGAGAGAGAGAGAGAGAGAGAGAGAGAGAGAGAGAGAGAGAGAGAGAGAGACAGAGACAGAGACAGAGAGAGAGAGAGAGAGAGAGAGAGAGAGAGAGAGAGAGAGAGAGAGAGAGAGAGAGAGAGAGAGAGAGAGAGAGAGAGAGAGAGAGAGAGAGAGAGAGAGAGAGAGAGAGAGAGAAGAAATAGGGGAGCAAGGGAAGGAGAGGGAGAAGGAATGAGGAAGAGAGAGAGGAAATAAGGAAGGGAGTCTTGGCTGGTTTGGTCACATAAATGATGGTGGTGATTACTACCACACTTCTATCTTCCCTCTTCACCACTCCTCCCTTCCTAGCGCCCCTCCATCCCCTCCTACTCCTCCATAACCTCCTTCTCTCCCTCCTTATCTTCTCACGACATCTTATTCAGCCATTCATCTAGGTCTCTCCCTC